TATTACGATTACGACTACGACTACGACGACTACTACTATTATTGCTTCCGTTACTACTACGACTACGGCCAGTGGTCATGATATTATTACCGGTATTTCTCCGACCTACTACCGTTATTACGAGTATTACTACTACTATTGCTACTACTACGACTACCATTTTTAATCCTATTGCATTCACGACGACAACTACTAGTATTACTACGACTACTACTGCTACTACTGCAAGCATTATCACGTCTACGGTTGCTACTACTACGAGTACTACTACGACTACTACTACTACTACTACTACTACTACTACTACTACTACTACTACGACTACTACTACTACTGCTACGACTACCACTACTACTACTACTTCTACTACTACTACTACTACTACTACTACTACTACTACTACTACTTCTATTTTTTCCTCGACTACTACTGCCGTTGCGACTAGTACAACTACCACGACTACGACTACGACTACTAAGTATTATTACTGCGACTAATCATTTTACTACTACTACTATTACTGCTACTACTACTACCACTACTACAACTACTACTACTATTATTAATCATACTTCCAATACTACGACTACTACTATCATTATTACTACTAAGATGATTACTATTACTACGATTCTTACGATCAGAACCATTACTACTACTGCTGCTGGTGCTACTACTACTACTACTACTACTACTACTACTACTACTACTACTGTACTACTACTACTACTACTACTACTACTACTACTACTACTACTACTACTACTACTACTACTACTACTACTACTACTACTACTACTACTACTACTACTACTACTACTACTACTACTACTACTACTACTACTACTACTACTACTACTACTACTACTATACTACTACTACTACTACTACTACTACTACTACTACTACTACTACTACTACGACTACTACTACTACTACTACTACTACTACTACTACTACTACTACTACTACTACTACTACTACTACTACTACTACTACTACTACTACTACTACTACTACTACTACTACTACTACGACTTACGACTACTACTACCACCACTACTACTACCGATACCATTACCACTGCCATTGCCACTACCACTACCACTACTAGTCGTATATATATACATATACACATATATACACATAATAATACATATATATAATACATATACATATACAAGATGTTAAGGCTCGCTGCGCTTCGCCTTCTAATCTCGATCCTTGCACCTACGATGTTTCTGGGCGCGGGCGAGAACACAATTGTTCAATGAGGTGTGTGTGGGAAATGTGCGAGCGGAGGTGAGGCGAGGCGAGTGCGCGGTAGCGCCGGGGCTCATCGGAGAGATGATGTGTCGACGGGGCTGTGCCGTCGCCGACGCTTGCTACCCAGGTAGCGTAGTCGACGTCGCGGTGTTGTCGGTGGTTCACCTGCAAAGCGTAAGTAGTGAAAAGCTTCCATGTAGCAGATTTCCGAGTACTGTCGTTGACGAGATATATATATATATATATATATATATACATATATGAGTAGGCCGGGTGAGGGCCCAGAACTGCTGCCTTTGGTTCGTATGGGGGGTTGGGGGGCCTTGAGGGCCCCAAGAGGGTTCAGAAGGGGCCCCGGACCCCCCCAAAGGCTCACAAGCTGGCCCAAGAGGCGCCCAAAGCGCCCCAGGTTGTTTGGAAGGTGGCTGAAGAGCGCGCTGAGATGGCTTCCAGACGAGCCACGAGCGCTCGAAGACAGCCCAAGACTGCTTCTAGACGGCCACAAAGGCATTCAAGACGGTCCAAGAGGCCGCCGAGAAGGCCCTCCAAGGGCAAAAATCATGCATTTCCTATGGAAATCAGTACATCTCCTAGATATTTGCTTCTTAGTCCTACCAGCGGCCGCGACGGCCCAAGATCGAGGTTACCAAAATGGACCCCAGACGGCCCAAGAGGCTTCCAAGAGGGCCCCCTGACGGCCTGAAGAGAGCTTCGCGCAGCACAAGAGAGCTTCACACGGCCCAAGAGAGTACCCAGGAACCCCGAGGGGGCCACCGGAGGATCCCTACATGGTTGGAGAGGGCCCCCCGAGGGCTCCAACACAGGCTCAGGTCCCCATGACGGGCGAAGAGGGACCCAGAAAGGCCGAACTGGGCTCCCAGAGGGTCCAAAAAAGGCTTACCAGGATTCCCTGAAGACGGTCCAGGAGGCCGCTGAGAAGGCTCCCGGGTGGAAAAAACCAGCATTTCCGAAGGAAAGCGCTCATTTCTACGATATTCGCTTCTTGTGTTCTATCGGCGGCCACGTCGGCCCCAAAGGCTTTCCAAATCGGCGCCACACGGTCCACGAGGCCCCCAAGAAGGCTCCAAGACAGCCTCAAGAGAGCATCGAGCAGCACAAGAAAGCTCCAAAACAGCCCGAAAGAGTCCCCAGGGGGCCCGAGGGAGCCACCGGAGGATCCCTACATGGTCGGACAGGGCTCCATGAGGGCCTCAAGACGGCTCAGCTACCCAAGACATGCCAAGAGGTGCTTGGGACATCCGAAATGGGCTCCCAGACGGGCCGCAAAAAGGCCCAAAGACAAAAATCAAGCACTTCTCATGGAAAAACGTATAGTTATTTCTGGGAGCTTCGCTTTTCAGTTTTACCAGCGGTCGCGACGGCCCAAGAGGTTACCAAAATGGACCCCGGACGGCCCCAGAGGCCCCAATGAGGGTTCCAAGACAGGCTGAAGAGAGCTTCGAGCGGCAAAAGAGAGCTACAAGACAGCCCAAGAGAGCCCCCCCAGGAGGCCTGATGGGGGCCACCAGAGGATTCCTACATTGTCGGAGAGGGCCCCAGGAGGGCCCCAAGACGGGCTGAGCTCCCCACCACGAGCCAAGCGGGACCCGGAACGGCTGAAATGGGCCGTCAGACGGGCCAACAAAAGGCCCCAAAGGACTCCAAAGGAAGGCCCGGAAAGACTCCAGAGATTGCCACAATGCTTCGGAAAAAGGCTCCCGGCACGCGTTCCAGTAGGCACCCGTGTACTGGGTGCGTTGAGTGAAGAGAGGAGGAGGATGACAAGGAGGAGGAGGAGGAGGAGGAGGAGGAGGAGGAGGTGGGAGAGGAGGAGGAGGAGGAGGAGAAGGAGGAGGAGGAAAGAGAGGAGGAGGAGGAGGAGGAGGAGCAGGAGGAGGAGGAATATCAGGAGGACGAAGAGGGGGAAGAGGAGGAGGGACATTGTTCTTGTAATATTTTCTTGTTCTCTGATTTTCTGGCTCCGGGAGGGATGATGAGGACGAGGAGGAAAGGGGAGCGCAGGATGAAGAGGGCACACCGAAGAGCGGGGAAGACATGGAGGAGGAGGAGAAGGAGGAGGAAGAAGAGGAGGAGGAGGTGAAGGAACAAGGATCCCTTTCAGGGAGACGCCGACGAGGAAAAGGATAAATATAAGATGGTGGGAAGAGGGAGAACGGGAAGAGGAGGAGGGTAAGGGGATTGCAGTTGACTGGGGATAATGACGGCGATGACGCTGATGATGATGACGATGACTATGCCGACGCCGACGCCGACGACGACCAACAAGACGGTGATGATGCGGATGATGATGTTGGAAACTACGACGACGATGATGGCGATGGTTATCAAGATGTTGATGATAATGGTGATAATAGTGATAACGATGATTGTTGTGATGGTGATGGTGAAGGTGACCATGACCATGACGATGACGATGAAGATGACGGGGACGAGGATGACAATGATGACGATGATCATGACCCTAGCTAGAACTTGAGCGCGCGCGAAGCGCGCGATGGTTCTAGTATATGGATATATACAACAAAAGCAACAACAACTACTACTACTACTACTATTATTATTACTACTACTATTATAACGACTACTACTACTACTACTACTTCTACTACTTCTACTACTACTACTACTACTACTACTACTACTACTACTACTACTACTACTACTACTACTACTACTACTACTACTACTACTACTACTACTACTACTACTACTACTACTACTACTACTACTACTACTACTACTACTACTACTACTACTACTACTACTACTACTACTACTACTACTACTACTACTACTACTACTACGACTACTACTACTACTACTACTACTACTACTACTACTACTACTACTACTACTACTACTACTACTACTACTACTACTACTACTACTACTACGACTACTACTACTAACTACTACTACTACTACTACTACTACTACTACTACTACTACTACTACTACTACTACTACTACTACTACTACTACTACTACTACTACTACTACTACTACTACTACTACTACTACTACTACTACTACTACTACTACTACTACTACTACTACTACTACTACTACTACTACTACTACTACTACTACTACTACTACTACTACTACTACTACTACTACTACTACTACTACTACTACTACTACTACTACTACTACTACTTCAGTTCACATCGTCTTTGCAACCAGAGTTATGCTTCGTCTTCCTCATCCTCCTCCGCATCATTATCAACATCATATCAGCAGCCACTCTGGCACAAGGGGCGAACAGTTCGTTTCGTGATCCAAGTGCCTGCTGCAAGTCCTGCCGCCGTGCCAGATCAGCATTCCGGGTGGCGAATCTTCGAGCGCCGAAGGCCGTCACCTGTAACGCACCTCGTGTCCCCTTCATGGAGAGCTATCATAAAGCTCATTCGGACCGTATTGAGGCTGTTTAGGAGTCACTGTGGGACAGCATTGGAGCTCCGCGGGGACGTTCGCCATTCGGCCATTCTTCACATCATCATCATCAGCAGCATCAGCAGCATCAGCATCAGCATCAGCATCAGCATCAGCATCAGCATCAGCATCAGCATCATCATCATCATCATCATCATCATCATCATCATCATCATCATCATGGTCGTGCTCGTCGTCCTCCTCGTCGTCGTCATGATCATCGTGGCCATCCCCATCACCCTCACCATCACCAGCATAATCAGCACCATCAGTACCAGCATCGCTTTCCTCTTCTCCTCTTCCTCCTCCTCCTCCACCTCATCCTCGCCTGGAGCAGATGTCGCAATGCCAAGCCATGGATTTCGGGCAAATGTTCAGCCAGATGGGCAAGCTCGATGGCGACCTTGGCAAGCACGGCATGGACCCCACGCCGCTGCGCCGGCCGAAGGGCAGATGAGGGGAAGGAACGGGAGGGGCGGAGTTGTTGTTGTCAGCAGGTTCATCAAGCACGTCGTGGAATAGGGGAAGAGGGGCAGGGGGGAGGATGCGGCGAGGACACCCGCACCGCGTCGGCAACGGCCAAGAACCAACAGGCCGACGGCCCCGTCCAGGGGGGGGGCTTTCGCCGTGCCTCGCGTCGCACGCTTGCTCTCTGCCCGCCCCTGCTGTCGCAGACGCCCACGGCGAGCCCCGCCGCCCCCCCCTGCAGGGCTGGAGGCGCCCAGGTGACCAAGCCTTGGGCCAGAGCTTTGCCGAGCCATCGGGCACTGGTCGGGAACGTTTGGATGGCGTGCCGCTTGGCCGGTCCTGGCTTACCGCGCTGCGGCGACGCACGCCGACCGCGTCGCGCTCCCCGGACGTCCAAGTCCCGAGCTTCTCCCCGCCCCTCGCCCCGCGGAGCGGAGCGACACGACGCTGTCCGCCTGCCAGGCGAAGCGTGTCGCCGGGGCCGCCGCGGCGACGCGCTGAGCTAGAGTCCCCGGCCGCGTGTGTTCGTCCCGCCGTTGTGGACATCTTTCGGAGAGCAGTGGGTGGAGGACGGGGGGCAGAACCAGGAGAGGGAGGAGGATGGGGAGGAGAGCGAGGAGGAGGACGAGAGGTTTCCGGCGGGCCTCTGGGTGGCCTCTTGGGGCAATTTGGGACTGTCTGGGAGCCACTTGGGGTCGTCTCGTGGGGCCATCTGTGGCCATATTGACTGCCTTGCAGGACGTATTAGACCATCTTGGAGGTCATATAGCGTAATCCCGGCCGACTTGAGGGCCATATTGGTCGTCTCTTGGAGGCCATCTTGGTTGTCTGGGAGTCCATCTTTGGCCGTATTGGGGTCATAATGGAAGCCTTTTGAGCTGACTGAGGCTATCGTGAGCTCGAGATGGCGAGAGCGCTGACATCATTGACACGCACACACACACATGACATGAAGGCCCGATACGCCCAAAGGGGGGCCCAACAGACTTCTCAGAGGGCCGTGAGAGGCAAACGTACAGTGCCGATTTTAATACGTGCTCCGCGTGCGGATCATGTATTAAACATGCAGGGATTTAGTATAAAAAACAACGATGAGTTCATGCCTAAATTGATTCATACATGAATCATGTATTTAAATTCCTATATATAAATATAGATATAATATGTATATATATAAGTCATATGTATTAAGAATTGCCCTGTAATTTATTATTCGTTTGATGTTTGAAAGATGTTCGGGTTCCCGCTTTCTGGGGCTCTCGACCGCCCCGTGAGTCGCCCAGATCGCCCCCCAAGACTGCCCACGAGACCCCCCAAAAGGGCACCCAGCGCCAAGACCGACCTCAGACGGCCCACAAAGAGCCCCACAGAGCGCGTCGGAGACAGCAGCCGCCCCAGAGGCCCCCCTGGACGGCCCAAGACGGCCCCAAGTCGGCCCACGAGGGCTCAAAGGCAGCCCAACCGGCACCAAGACCACCCCAGAGGCTTCCAAGAGGCCCCCAAGCCGGCCCACAGGCCCCCAAGAGACCCCCGACAGGCCCCCAAGATGCCCCCAAGAGCGTCTCGAGAGGCCCCCCCCCAAGACGGCCCAGTGACGGAGACAGTTTGGACGCCTAAGGTTCCCAAACGATCCCGGTGACGGAAAAGCCCGTTTTAGGAGAGTCGGTCACGCAAAAAGTTCTGAACGCCAAGGCTCTCGAGAGCGAACGGTGACGTAGCGCCAAGGTTCCCAGGAGTGAAGGGTGACGCATACAGCCCGAAGCACCAAGGCTCCCAGAAGCGATCACGGCAAGGCTCCCCGGAGCTCACGGTTCCATGAGCCTTCCCGGGCAAGCGACGGAAACCGTTTCTGGGGCAATTTTTGTGTTGGCCCAGGTCTACCACGGTGTTTGCCGCGGTGAGCCGGCGAATAGGAGGCAGGTGCCACACGAGTCTCTCACCGTGAGCTCTTTTCACGAGGCGTGGTGCATGAGACGATCTCAACGCCGAGTACAGGTGATTTGCGAGTGCTTTTGCTGTGTTCGCGTCCCGCTCCCAGGACATGAAGCAGCTCGTAGACGATGCGGCCCAGTACGCGCTGAAGGAGGGCCAGCGGCGGAGGAGGGTGGTGTCTGGTCGCAGGAGGGGCCGAAGGTGCGCAGGGGGTGGGAAAGCGAGCGAGGTGGGGCCAGGCTAGATGGGGAACTGCTATTGGCTTGGCGAGAGCCGAGGTTTGTAATGATGAGGAGGGGAGGGGAGGGGGAGGTTGAGGACGAGGTTGTTGACGATGATGAGTCTGGTGCGGGCGACGGTGATGAGGGTCACCATGGTGATGACGAGGGCTGGGATGAGTACGATGAGACTGATCGTGACAGGGATGACCATGACGAGGACACGGGTGAGGGTAGTGACGATGAGGATGACGATTGGGATGCGGGTGATAGACTTGATGGTGGCGAGAATGGGGATGAGAATTGCCACCATCATCATGTAAGCGTGAGGATGAGGACCAGGACTCAGATGATGGTGAAGGCGATCGGGACTCTGTAGACGTTTGTGTCTGGGATGGTGATGGTGATGATAACCTGACGAGATGATGACGATGTTTATATGACGATGATGATGATAATGTTGATGATGATGATGACGACGATGTTGGTGGTGGCTATTATAATGAAGGTGGTGATGATGATGGTGGTGATGCTGATGCTGACGATGATGATGTTGATGGTGATGGTGATGGTGATGGTGATGGTGATGATGATGATGATGATGATGATGATGATGATGATGATGATGATGATGCTGGTGGTGATAATGTTGATATTGATGATGAGGATGATGGTGGTGATGGTGGTGGTTGTGATGCGATGGCCATGGCGATATCGACGAAGATGATGAGGAGGATGCTGATGATGATGTTAAAGCTGATGTTAATACTGGTGCTGATGCCGATGCTGATGTCGATGATGTTGATAGTGCGAGACGGGGCGGTTGTTGCAACCCTCTCGGGCGTGGTCTGGCTGACCAGCGCAGTGGTGCTGGGAGGGTCGAGCCTGGCAATAGCAGACCTCCCCATTATCCCCTTGCTTCCCTCTTTCCCACCCTCCCTCACTCCCTCACTCCCTCTTTCTCCTTTGTCGTCATCGTCCTCGCCCTGCTGCCGTTGCTACCAATATTCCTCCTCTCCCTCCTCTTTTCCTCATTCATCCTCCTCCTGCCACCACCTATCCGCCTCCCCGTGATCACCGCCAACGATCACTCATTATCCCCCTCCTGATGATAACCTCCTCTAAGCATTCGATGGAATGATTCCGGCCGCCATGTGCAGAGCGTTATACTTTCTTGGATTTCCTCCCGAGATGGTGGACATGGTGAGACCCGTTTCTTCTTCATTCCTGACCATATTGGAAGTTCTTCGGAACGACGACAGAGAGCCAGGATTGCACAAGGCTGTCCGCTGTCTCCGTACCTCTTCATCGCAGTTCAAACAATCATGTTTCGCGATTCGGTTGATATGTAACTTCTTCAGCAAGAACGTGGGTGGACGCTTCTTGTATTTCGACACCAGCCCTACTTTCAAGCAGTGCCGAAGTCAATCGTAGAGGAAGGGCGCAACAATGGTTTGGAATTCAACTGGAGCAAGACATTGCAGACGCAGGTGTCGACAAGCAGGAAGATCACGACAGCAAATGGAGGCGACATCAAAACCGTCCATGGTGCGGTGTACTTTCGGGGCCTCGTGTTTCGCGATGGGAGGATTTCGGCCGAATTGTCCAGAAGGTTGGGGGAAGCGACCAAGACTTTCAAGCAGCTGGACAAATTATGATCTAGATCGGCGGTTGGGGTCGAAACGAAAATATAAAACTTACGACGCCGTCATCGTTTGAGCAAGTTCCTTTCCTCGTTGGTTCCTCTGTGGCTGCTAAAAGCTGACCGTGCTCGTTTGGACGCCTTCTATTGCAGGTGCGTGCGGCGACTGTTGGGCATTCCGTTTTCATACATATCTAGAGTGCGCAACGACACGGTGTTGTAGAAGGCGGCGGCGAAACCGTTGTCGCAAACATTGATATGTAGACAGGTGAACGCATACAAAAATCTCGGTTTGTGAATGTAATTCGTGTGTGAAGCGTGCGCTCTTCATCGCAGACACGTCGCCCAAAGGGTGGACCGCCTGCCGCAAGAGAGGGCGACCGCGCCAACAATGGGCGTTCGAAGTCTATAAATTTACGCAGTAGTGTAATGCATGTTACATGTTACGTTTGCTCTCCCCGCTCTCCTCCCCTCCCCCGCCTCCCCTCCCTCTCCCCTCTCATCGTCCATGGCAAGCGCGCGTTTCAGTATATTTCCCAATCTTTCGCGGGCTCGCTAATGGACACATTTCGTTTTACCTCGTGGGTGCACGGTGTTGTGTCTGTTTGTCTCATGATCACCTCACGCTTCCTGTTTGGTGCATCTTTTTCATCCTTCCTCCACCCACCCTCACCCTGTACATCCTTCTTCTTCCTCGTCGTCCCCATGCTCCTGCATCCCATCCCTTCACGTCCCCATCATCATGTGATTCCTCCTCCCTGTTCCTCCTCCCGCCTACCCATCCCCACCCCGCACTTTTCGCTCCTCATCCCTCTTCCCATGCCTCCGCCTCCCCATTCTGCCTCCCGCTTCTCCTCTTCCTCCTCCTCCTCCTCCTCCCCCTCCTCCTCCTTCTCCTCCTCCTCCTCCTCCTCCTCCTCCTCCTCCTCCTCCTCCTCCTCCTCCTCCTCAGCACACTCACCCTCCGACCCTCCCGCTCTTCCTCCCGCCCACTCCCTCCTCCCTCCTCCTGCCCCCCTGAACGGTTCGCTCGTCGTCGATCGTACGGCGGTCGTCAGCCGGCGTCGCCCGACGGCGGCCCACGGGCGGCGATCGCCGCGCCAGCGGAGGACGACTGGAGGTGCATGGACGGCTCCCCGAGCTGCGGTGCCCTCCCCGGCCTGCGCTACGGCGCCAGCGTGGAGATCCGCCCGAGGTGCCAGAGGGGGCGGCGGAGGAGGAGGAGGAGGAGGAGGAGGAGGAGGAGGAGGAGGAGAGGGAGAAGGAGGAGAGAGGAGGAGGAGGGGAGAAGGAGGAAGAGGGGGAGGAGGAGAGGAGGAGGAGGAGGAGGAGGAGGAGGAGGAGGAGGAGGAGGAGGAGGAGAGGAGGAGGAGGAGGAGGAGGAGGAGGAGGAGGAGGAGGAGGGGGGGGGATGAGCTGGGGAAGAGTGCGGGAGGAGTTGTGGGAGGTGGGGCTGCTCCTGGCCCCGGTTCCCATGCGAGGAGCGACGGGCTCCGGGACAGATTCGCGAACGCCCGTGCCAGATTCATATGTCGATGCCCCCTTCCAATGATCAAAGTCGGCGGTGGGTTCAGGTACTGAGTTGCTCTTCGGCCGCGGTCGTCCCCGCGCGTGCCAATTTTGAATGCGGGGGAGATGGGGAGTGTCCACTGACTGTTTCCCTATACCGGAGGCGGAGGAGGAGGAGGAGGAGGAGGGACAGGAGGGACAGGAGGATCCCCCCTCAGGAATCCCGACCCACCACCCCACGAGTTCCCTTAGATGGAGGGACAGGAAGAGGCTAGGACTCAACAGGTTTTCATCGAATGACAGTGCAGCGAGGAAGAAGGGGGAAGAGAAGGCAGAGCAGGAAGGAATGAGAGGGAGGGAGGGAGGAAGGAAGGAAGGGAGGGAGGGAATAGGAGAAGGAGGGGGGGAGGAGGAGGAGTAGGAGGAGGAGGAGGAGGAGGAAGAGGAGGACGACGACGAGAGGAACGAGGAGGAGGAGGAGAAGGAGGAGGAGGAGGAGCAGCAGCAGCAGGAGGAGGAACAGGAGGAAAAAGGGCTACACCATGATAGGCCATGTGGATACACGCACACAGGGGCCGCGCACAGCTTTCCCAGCCGAGCGTGTTGCTTTAGAGTTCGCGTTGGACGCGCCCATAGAAGTCGCTTTCCAATCAGAATGCCCCTCAATGCTGAGACTGGTTTGAGACGCGCCGTGGCGTCGGGCCTTGCGGAAGGAGGGCAGTGGAGGGAAGAGCACTGGAAGGAAGAGGGGGGGCGGGGGAGGAAGGGCGTGGACCCTGGAATCCGGAGGTTGGAACACCAACCTCCAGAGGTTAATGTTTCTTGCCTCGGAGGCTGGAAAGTTAGCCTCTGGAGGTTGCTGCCCGGGAACCCTCGCAAAACGAAAGCAAACAGCAAACAGCAAAACAAGCAGCATAAGGTCACTAACCCGGAATCAAGCATAAGGGACCATAGGCAAACAACCTACAACAGAGAGAAACATTTGGAAACATAGAAATAAAGAACAGCGTGGAGGTTGGAATACTTATCTCTGGAGGCTAGGGCTTCAATCGTAAGTAAAAGCATGGGAAGTTTAACAGACGTGGTCATTCTTGAATATTTAAAGGCTGCCGCCTCTGCCGCCGACCCCAATTGAGCGACGTATGTTTGATTCGTTTGTTGTCGGGGTACCTTTCCGAGCACGGCAGTAAGGGTTCAGGTGAGACATCCAGGCCTGAGCCTCGCCCCTTGGACTCATGATTCGCTGTCGCACCTCGGACTCCTCTCTATCGAATGGCCTTCGGTCCATCCCGCCACTATGCCTGGGTTGTGGGTATGTCGCCTAGCGGATGTCCGTTGGGATTTCGTGGGTGATCTTTTAGAGTGCCTCGTGGATGCGGTTCAGAGACCTCTCGGGGGCAGCTTTGGAGCTTCTTGGGGTCGCTGTTGGGTCCCTCGGGGGCCTCTTGGGGCCTCTCGGGGCCTCTTGGGTGCCTCTTGGGGCCTCCTGGGGGCCTCGCGGGGCGGAGCGCTCGGAGTTTCGGTTCGTGCTCCCTCTCTTGGGCAACTTGTGGGGCCGTCGTGGGGCCTTTGGGCCGTCTTGGGCGCCTCCTGGGCCGTCTTCGGGCGCTCGAGGGAAGTCTTGGGGCCCTCTTGGAGAGGTCTCGGGCAGTCCTGGGGCGGTATTGGGGACCTCAGGCCGTCTGGGAGCGTCGGGAAGGAAACAGGCGAGAGCGCCAACACGTTTCAAACAGCGAAGGCACATCAATGATTTTTCCTTGCCAGGGTTCTCTTGGGAGGCATCTTCGAGGCGTCGTGGGGCATCTTGGAGGCCTCTTGGGCCATCATGACGCCATGTAGGGCGTCTTGGGGCGATCTTTGAGCGTCTCGGGGCGTCCTGGGGCCGTCGGGGGTCTCTTGAGGGCTGTGGGTGCGTCTTCGGGCCCCCATCGCTCCGACACCGTCGCGCGAGAGACCGCGAGAAGCCCCAGAAGAAGATTTCGCGATGTGGCGTCTGGGTCTCTGAACGACTCTTCAAGAATGAGGATTGAGGTTGAGAGGATGATGGCCAGGACCTGAGGGCACGCCCACTCCGTGCCCAGAGGTACGATGGCGGATTTACATTACCAGGGTAATCCGATGATTATGGTTATGACGGATCGCATCGCACTTCCGCGCCCCAATGGCGGAGCCGTCTGGGGGCTTTTCAATTTGTTTTTGGGTGGAACCGCTGGGGGTGGCAGCGACTCGGGTTAACGGTCGGTGGATTGGGCGAGGTGGCAAATATTATCCAGGAGCAACGATGATCCCATCCCCGAAGGGGACAAATGGGGTCGGACAAGGAATCGCAGTTGACCATCTCCCGCCCACGAGGCAAGGGGGGCTTTCAGCTAGGAGGCCCCATGCGAGAACTTGTCCGGGTTGGTTTACGCGAAGCCATCATCGTCATTTTGGGTCTTAAATGCCGCCTGTGAGGCGGTCCGGTCTGTTCTGCCGGAGGCACCCCTGCAATGGTGGGCTCCGTGATGCCGCGCGAGAGATAGTCCAGCCCATTTCGCTTAGTCATCCTCGCCGCTGTCCTGAGGCGGTTCAGCCCTTTGTGCCTTTGGGCTTCGAGGCACGCGAGAGGTCCATCCAGCTTCCCCCCACGCACTCTCGCAACTCAGGACCAATGGATGCCCTGACCTCAGCTGGACCAGCCAGTTTCACTTCACACTTCGTCACAACTCTGGGCTCGGACATGATCTGGCGTGAGGTCGTCCAGCCATCTTCGCCTGATGCGTCCTCGCTATTATGGGTTACTCGATGCCATTGCCTCACTGTTTCCGATTCCGTTTCCTCGCTGTTCTGGGTTCGCAGTTGCCGTGGTCAGTTCGTTTCGCTTGAGATCTCCTTGCAATTCTGGGTTCATGTACTTTTGTCCTCATTTGCCGTGGTCCCGGTCCTTTTTTTGCATGGGACATCGTCGGGATTGTGTCTTCGGGGATGCCCACACCCGAGGTGGTTCAACCAATTTTGCCCGAGATCTCCCTTTTCTGGGCTCAGACATGTCCTGTCCATGCTGTCGCCAAGGGCCCAGTCGACAATTTCTACCATTTGTCAGATGAACACTCGGGGACTCCGGACCCCTCCTTGTTGCCATTGGCAGATACGTCGCTCGGGGCCCCTTGTGAAACGGGCGAGGGTGGCTGGGCATTGCATGAGGCGAGTTGCCCCTCCTTTGCCGATGGAATTTTCGGAGGAAGTGATTTCACAAGCTAGTCATCTAAAGGGGTGGGTGGATTTTCCTTGCCTCCGGTGCTGCGTGGCACCTCGTCTGAGGGGAGGCCCGACGTTGCCCCATCAGCCAGAGTAGTGCTGCTGCACCTCGCTTTGCCTTTGCGAAAACCTGAGATCACTTCGCCTGTAAGGCCGGCGGGTGCGGAAGCCATGGGGCGTCGCGTCCAGTTCGGGGGAGGGGTCAGTGATGTGCCAGCATCAAGTTTGGCCAGGCCTTCTATGGGCTTTCGCCAGTGGCCCGTGAGAGTCCTGGCCAACTTGGGAGCCTCGATTCCTGGCCGCTCTGACTTTTGGATTCCAGTTTGGGTCCGATCCACCGTGCGCCATTCAGAGGTGTATCGATCCAATATGAGAACTCGAAGGGTTAACCTCTCGCACTCTGCGACAGCCAACGCAAGTAAAACGGGGACGGCGCCGCTGGTGGAAGCTCGGCGGACATTGGCGGAGGTACAGTGGGAGACTCCGTGAGAGGTCAACGCTGGCTTCCCGAGAGTTTTCGGACGTTGCCAGCTGTCGTCCGACTGTTTGTGTTGTTTCCATGATTCAAACTGTGGACAAGCCCTGTGCCGAGCTCGGTCGGCCAACTCAATAACAGTCAGGCTCGCTCCACGTTCTTCGACGGCCCACAAGGCCCTGAAGGTCGTCCCAGGACCGCTTCAGACGCCCCCCAGAGGGTGCCAATGGAGCCCCTGGTGGTGCGGTGGGGGTTTCTGCGCGTGTTTTCGTAGGGTGGGGGGTCCCTAAAGGAGCACACGCAGGGGGTCCAGGAATGTGGGGGTGTCAGACGCGGTGGGTAGCGCGGTGGATGTCCGGGCGCGTTTTTGTCGCAGGGTGGGGGGTCTCCAACACAGCACACAAACAAGGTCCAGGAAGGTGGGTATGTGGAGGAAGGGGAGGTAGAAGGAGGAGGAGGAGGAGGAGGAAAACGTCGACGACCACGACGACCCAGAGATCCGAGATGCGATTTTTTCAAGCCGGCGGTTTTGTCGGAATCTCGGACTGCGGGGCCCGTCGTCGCGCCCGGGGACCCTCGAAAATGGCTTTGAGGGCGACGTACCACTTCGGGGGGAGGGGCGGCACCTCGGGGGCCGCGGCGTGCAGACGACGGCGACGACCCAGAGGCCCAGAGATCCGTCGAAAAAGGTTCTGGAGCAAAAACTCTAGGCCTCCTAGATGGGGTCGGAGTAGATGGGGTCGGAGGATCGCGCTGCATCGTCGATGCATCGGCGATGCATCAGCGATGCGGCTCGATGCGGGGCCCAATCTTCTACACGCCAAAGTCGCCGATGCATCGCCGACGTCGCCAGTGCATGGCCGATGCATCGCCGATGCATCGGCGATTCATTGCCGATGCATTGGCGATGCGGCGAGATCCTCCGACCCCATCTATTCGGACCCCATCTAGGAGGCCCCTAAAAACCCGCTCCCGGGGAGAGGGCGGTCCCACTTGGGCCGCGGATTGAAAGCGACGAGGCGACGACGGCGGCGACGACGGCGACGACGACGACGACCAGGACGACCACGACGAGGCGGAGATCCGAGGATGTGACCCTTTCATTTCGCAGTTTGTTCTTGGGTTTGGGCCTCTGGGGCCCGTCGTCGGGCCGGGGGGCCGTCGACAGTGGTTCTCGAACGAAAAAACCGTTCTCGGGGAAGGAGCGGTGCGTCCGGGCCGATGATCGAAAACGATGCGGACGATCACGACGACCCACAGATCCAAGGATGATATTTGCTCAATCGAGTTTTTTTCCGGATTTTTGCCTGCGGGGCCCGTCTTCGGGCTTGGGGCCATCGAAAATGGCTCCTTGGCGAGAAACGACTCGGGCCGCGGTCGGTGCGTGTCGAAGTCGGTTTGGGGCGAGAAATTGTGCGGTGGAGGCCCCAAGAACAGAGGTTCCGTGGGGTGGGGATGCCGGGGCGAGGAGGGAGGTATCGGTCGGTTTGGGGCGAGTCGTTGTGGTGGGGGCCCCAAGAAAACAGGTTCCGTGGGGTGGGGATGCCGGGGCGGGGAGGGGGATAGCTTTTGGGCGAGAAATTGTGTGGTGGGGGGCCCCAAGAAAAGAGGTTTTGTGGGGCGCGGATGCCGGGGCGAGGAGGGGGGTATCGGTCGGTTTGGGGCGAGAAATTGCGTGGTGGGGGGCCCCAACAACAGAGGTTCCTTCGGGCGGGGATGCCTGGCGAGGAGGGGGGTATCGGTCGGTTTGGCGAGAAATTGTATGGTTGGGGGTCCCAAAAACAGAGGTTCCGCGAGGCGGGGATGCCAGGGCGAGGAGGGGGGAGTTCGGTCGGTTTTGAGCGAGAAATTGTATAGTGGGGGGCCCGAAAAACAGAGATTCTGTGGGGCGGGGATGCCGGGGCGAGGAGGGGGGTATCGGTCGGTTTGGGGCGAAAAATTGCGTGGTGGGGGTCCCAAGAAGAGAGGTTCCCTGGGGCGGGGAAGCCGGGGCGAGGAGGGGGGTATCGGTAGGTTTTGGGCGAGAACTTGTAGGGGGGTCCCAAGAACAGAGACTCCGTGGGGTGGCGATGCCGGGGCTTGGAGGGGGGTATCGGTCGGTTTCCAAGATGGGGTATCGGTCGGGGGGTATTTTGTGATGGGGATCTCAAAGACGGAGGTTCCGTGGGGCGGGGATGCCGGGGCGAGGAGAAGGGTATTGGTAGATTTTTGGCGAAAAATTATGTGGTGGGGGGTCCCACGAATAGAGGTTCCGTGGGGCGGGGATGGCAGGGCGAGGAGGGCGATATCGGTCGGCTTTGGGCGAAAACTTGCGTGGGGGGGGGGTCCCAAGAACAGAGGTTCCGTCGGGCGGGAATGCCGGGGCGAGGAGGGGGGTATCGGTTGGTTTTGGGCGAGAAATTGTGCGGTGGGGGGTCCCAAGGACACGGGGGATGCCGGGGCGAGGAGGGGAGCATCGGTCGGTTTGGGGTAATGAATTGTGTGGTGGGGGCCCCAAGAACAGGGGCGAGAAATTGTACGGTGAGGGGCCCGAAGAACAGAGGTTCCGTGGGGTGGGGATGCCGGGGCCAGGAAAAGGGTAGTTATCGGTCGGGTTTTGGCGAGGAATTGTTTTGCGGTGGGGGGTCTCAAAGACAGAGGTTCCGTGGGCTGGGATGCAAGGGCCAGGAACGGGGTATCGGTCGGGCTTGGGCGAACAATCGTAGGGTTGGCTCAAGGTTGGTGGCTCTAGCCCGCACTTTGCCTCACACGCCTCTGGGGTCGGCGAGTCTGTGCGGAAACATTGGAACTCGACGCGTGCATTTTTCGTTGGGTCGAATTTGCGTGCGCGTCATGGCCAAGACAGCCTCGTGCCCCTAACCTGTGAAATTGTGCAGTCCAAGGCCTGGACAGCGGAGCACCAGAAGGCCGTCCAAGGGTTTGCCGAGGGAGCTCTGGAAGCTTCTGGAAGGAGCTTCCGAAGGAGCTTCTTGAGAGCTTCCGAGCAGACGCAGAGGGAGACGCTTAGAAAATGCCTGCTGGGACACGCTGCAGCTTCAGGCAGGGCGCGCCGAGGTGTTTTCACGGAAGCCGGAACGAGCTCCAGGGCTACCTTGCGGTGCCGGCTTCTAATTACACATCCCTGCAATTCTCCAAGGAGCTATCCAGGAACAACCAATGATTGGGGCTTTCTCGATAAGTCCATCTTGGATGCTCTGACCGCTCGCGAGTGCCCCCGTCCAGACCCAGGGGTAGGGGGGAAGGGGAGGAGTAAACCCCTCCCCGAAGGGGAGCAAGGGGGGAGGATAGAAGAGGAAACGCTTTAATCCACCTCATCCCAGAGGGCTGGTAGGGTTCTTGCTCCATCACTCATCCTACCGCTCGCGGTGTGTGTGTGGGTCGGAGACAGTGTGAGATAAGGGATGTTGGCGCCAAAGCCTCTTTCGGCGCCTTCCAGCCCATACTCGCATTGCGCTTCGAACCTCTAGCGAGGCCAGAACCGCCAACTCTGGATACAGTGGAAGCCCGTGCCCAGAAGCACCCCGCTTGCCTCCAGGGTGCCCTGGGTTTCCTGGGTTTCGATGACGTTGCCCTGGAAAGCCGGACCTTCCCGCACCAGAAATCCATGGACGCCTTGGGGTCTCACGGTTGGGTTTCTTGTGGAAGGCTTCGTGTGGGCGAGCTCCCGTACATGGACATTGTATTCGAACCCTGTGGCCCAAGATGCCCCCCAGATCCCCTGAAATTAAGATTGATGGCGTGGTGACGGGGGGGGGGGCGTGAGTGGACAGAAGTATTCGAACCCCAAAGCGCCGCCTTTACTGAGATCAACACTGATGTGGGGGGCGTGGGGGTGATTTAGAATCTCACTCGAATGCGTAGGGGTTCGACTATATATATATATATATATATATATATATATATATATATATTGTCCACCTGCGGTCCTCCTGCACCGCGAACCTGGATCCCCCACCGCCCCGCGCCAGGCTGCTCGTGCTGCCGTGCCCCTGCGCCGGCGGCCAGTGGACGCCGCCCGTCGCGAACAGCGACGACGGCATACTCCAGGCGGACGGGCTCTGGGCGGCGAGGGTGCCGTGGAGGCCGTGGCCGCTCGGGGCTCGCCAGGGGGCGAGGGCCCGCCTGGGCGTCGTTCGGTCGGGGGAGGAGCCGGAGGAGCGAGCGCGGAGGAGCGGGAGGAGCTGCTCCTCCACGCTCCTCCGCGCTCGGCCCTCTTCGTCCTCCTGTGTGCCCACCCCGCACCCGCTCCCCGCGCCTCTGCGCTCCCTCCCGGGTCCTGCTGCTCCTCCACACTCCCTCCCGGCTCGCTCCAGACTCACTCGCTCCTGCTGCTTTTTTTGTCCGCCTCTCTCCACAGGGGGGAGGAGGACTGATTTCAGGAGGGGGAAAACACAATTAAACGTCGACTCCCAGGAAAACATGGGAAAATATGGGAAGTGGGGGGGAGACCGAAACCCAGAAAATATATGAAAATATGGGGAATCCTCGGATTTGTGTATTTTCTTTGTGTGTCCCTGGGCCCCTTTAGAGTAGGAGAAGCGAAGGGCGAAGGATCCTTGACCAATTTATCCTGGTCTACGGGGGGCGGGCCCGCCGTTCGACTGTCTGCAGCGAGGGGAGAAAGAAGAGGGGAGGGGAGAAGGATAGGGGCGGGAGGAGGAGGAAGGAGGATGGAGGGAGGAGGAGGAGGATGCGGAGGAGGAGGATGAGGAGGATGAGGAGGAGGAGGAGGAGTGAGAAGGAGGAGGAGTGAGAAGGAGGAGGAGTGAGAAGGAGAAGGAGGAGCGAGTGAGGCGGGGAGGGAGGCGGAGCAGGGCAAGCACGGGGGGAGCAGCAGGGGACGAGAAGCGCCGAGCAGGGGGCAGCGGGGCGCCGGAGGAGGCGGCACGGGGCTGCCAAACCGAGCCGTGGCTTCGGAGGCAGGGAGACGACGACGACGACGACGACGACGACGACGACGACGACGACGACGACGACGACGACGACGACGACGACAGGGCACCAGCGGCGGCATGGTCACCAGCTGACGGCGGGTCGGGGGGTCGGCGAGCGCGGGGCGGACCACAGGGCGGCGGGCGGGGCGCTGCCAGCCGTGCCCCGCGACGTGCGTCGGTCGGTCCTGGCCGCGGCGGGCCACGGCGGCGGGCGGGCAGCGGGCGGGCTGGGGCCAGCCGTGGACCGCCACCTCCGTGGGCCCGTGCTCGCCGCAGGGGGCAGGCTTCGCGCCGCACAGGCAGCCGAGGCGTCGGAGAGGGGTCGGGCGCCCGTGGCAGCTGCCGTGCGGCCGGCTGGTCGGCGCCCGCCGTGCCCCACCACGCCCGGCCAGCGGGCCTGTGCGTCTCGGCGCGGCGGGGCAGCGCGGGCGCGGGCAGGCGGAGGGGGCCGCCGATCGCTTTGGGGGTGCCCCGACGGCGGAAGGTCGCTCAGGGCGGCGGTTCGCGCGGCTGCAGAGACGAAACAGCCCGCGCAGCCGTGGCAGGAAGGCCGTCGAGTCGGCCTGGCCTGGCCGCAGGGGGCGAGTTTCCCGCTGCGCTGCTTGCCGCTGTCGTTCCTCCTCCTCTTCTTGTTGCCGCGTGCCGCCATGGCACGGCGATCGCACGCTGGCCAAGGTCAGGAGGGAAAAAAACGCACAGACACGTGACACAATTAATCGTCGATTCCCCAGAAAATATGGGAAAATATGGGGAATACTTTTATTTGTGTGTATTTATTTGTGTGTCCCAGGACCAATTCACAAGGTCGTTTCTGGGGGGAAGCAGAAGGGGTGGGGGGCCGAGGACCACAGTACCCTCTCTGAGGAGTGCAGTCCGTCTCTGGAGGCGTCGCGCTTCAGGACGGCATTGTCGCGTCTACTTCTGTAGAGCTGCCGGACGCCCAGCTGTGATTTCTGGCTTGAGGTGTTGCGATCTTCTGGCCTGTGGCCGGCGCAGGGGGGAGGGGGGGGGTAATTCGTGACTCTTCAAGCGCTCGCTCTGAGGCCACGGTTCACCTCACGAATTTGCCTCTCGCAGTTCGGCTCTTGGGTTGCATCCGGTTGGCTTGGCTACCCTTGGAATCGCAGGGCAGCTGAGGATGTGCAGTGTGGAACTGATTATCTGCATAAGATATACTCTTCAGCATAAGAAGCTGCTCCTCCTCCTCCAATCGCGCATGCTGTGCATTATGAGACAGCCGACGTGCAGTCGCTCCCGCAAAGCGGCGAGTTCAGGCTGGCATTGTCTTTTGCCCACGCGCTCTGGCGTATGGCAGTTCGTTCGTTCGTTATGAGGAATCTGGAGAGGAGGAGGGGAGGGTCGGGGAGGCCTCGCCTCCGTGCGACGCACTCCTGGTGGCCTCGGGCGCGACGTCTCGGGCGCCCTGCAGCCTCCAGGGCTGCCAATGCGGCCCAAAAGAGGGCGCCACGACGGGCCCTGGGACCTGGACCTCAGGCCACTGCATTCTGTGCCGGCGGCGAGGCGGCGGATCAGTATCAAGCAGAGGAGACAGCACGAGCGGAAAAGGTATTGCGAAGGGCTCACGGCGGATGCCGCCAGCCCTGAAGGCGGGGACCCGCCTGGACCCCGGGGGGGTGCTGCATTCTAATTCTGACCCAGGACCCCCCCCGCCCTCCCAGGACCTCCCCCCCCAGCGGGAAAGGGACAAAGGGAAGGGAATCGATTTCACTACGACGTTCCTTTCCCTCCTTCAATTTCCTTGGGATAAACGACGACGTCGACGACGGCGACGACGACGACAACGACCACGACAGCGTCGCCCACACGCCGAGAGGTCGGTGGATTTCAGGCGTACGTGTCGATGGCATTAGGGTTCTTGACCATCCCGCAATCTTTCTCGCAAGACTGGTGCAGTCCACGTCTCCGCCTCCGTTGAAGACTAGCGTGGCAGAATGTAATGCGCTCGTGATCAATAGGAAGAGAAAGAGTGAGGCAAGGAGGGATAAGCAAGGAAGAGGAAGAGGCAGAGGAGGAGAAGGAGGAGGAGGAGGAGGACGGCAACGATGACGACGCGGACGGCGACACCGACAACGACGACGGCCAGTGGCGGCATTGTCCACGGCGGGATGAGAGGCCACGGTCATTGTCGCCTGGTGGATGCGAGCTGTTTGCCCTCGGCCCTCCCGGCGACGGCCGCAGCGACGGTGCCAGATGCCGCCCCCGCGGAGGCAGCAGCACAGGCCGTCGCACCCGGCGGGCACGGAGGAGGACTGGCTGGAGGCCGACGGCCAGGCAGCACGCCCCCGGGGGGCAGCGGGGGGCCAGGAGGAGGGAGGTCCGCGGCGGGAGGAGGAGCGCGGCGTGTTGCCGGCGCCATCGGGGGGGTGAGGCAGGGCCCTCGTCGAGTCGGGTGGGGCACGTGGGGCTCCCCCGTCGGGGCTCGCAGCGGCTGGGAGGACGGACCTTCTGCCAGGAGGGAGAGAAGCACACAGAGACACAATTAAAATCCTCCATTCCCCAGAACATATGGGAAAATATGGGAGGTGGTGGGGGAGGGAAAAACCGAGAAAATATGGGGAAAGTATGGGGCATCCTTTCATTTGCGTGTATGTGTTTGTGTGTCCCAGGGCCCCATTCATTCTGGCCCCAGATCTGCTTGCAGGGACCGCTGTTGGCACTCAGCACTGGCTCATGGTGCTGGGCAGTCCGCACAGCCGGTGGCGGACACCCGCAGCAGGAGGCGGAGGAGAAGGAGAAAGGGGGGGAGACGGGCGAAGGGGGATGGAGCACACGGCCAGGAAGGCGTGCTCAGCGCGTCGCGCCGCCACTTCTGGCCCACCACGCTTCGGCGCGACACGCTGGGCATGCCCTGGCCACCAGGCATCAGGGGTGGACCCAAACGGTGTTTTGGCGATTTCGTGGGCCGTTTTCGTCTCGATGTCGTTTTGCGGTAAAGGCGGATTGAAGACAAAACAAGGGAAAACGAAAACAAAACGAAAACGAAAAACACCGTCTAGGCTCAGCCTTGCCAAGCATCAGCGTTCCGAGCTTTCCCCCGCCTCCCGCCCCACGGAGCGGCGCGGCGCGGCATATTAGCTTGCAGGGCACGGCGGGTCGCGGAGGCCGCCGCCGCGGCGCGTTGCGCTAAGAGTTCCTGACCGCAGGGGGGGGGGGCAAGAGATCCGAGGCCAAAACGCTTTGCGCGGAGCCAAGGCGCGAGCCACATTCTAAAGACCGCCCGCCCTCCACGCGTGAAACGGCTGCCAACTCCTTAGCTTCAGGACCACTAGTGAGAAGGAAGTCTCGGGCGAAATGCCAGGCCCGCTTTTCCGACTGGCTTCGGGGTGCGACAGGGAGGAGTTGTTGATGAGGGAAAGGAATGGAGGAGGAGGAGGAGGAGGAGGAGGGGGAGGGGGAGGAGGGGAGGGGGAGGGGAGGAGGAGGAGGAGGAGGAGGAGGAGGAGGAGGAGGAGGGGGAGGAGGAGGAGGAGGAGGAAGAGGTGGAGGGCAACCAGACAGGTCAGAGGCATTGTGGATGCGTATCGGAGTCCCTTCGGATGCCCCTTGGGAGTTTCTTGGGTTCCTCTCGGGGCGTCTTGGGGACCCCTTGGCGACCCCGGGGCCGCTCGGAGGTTTCGGGGTGCCTCTTGGGGGGTATCTCGGGCGCCTCGTGCAGATTTCTTTTGGGGCCTCGTGGGGGCGCCTCCTGCGGCACGCTCGGGCGCCTCTCGGAGGCCATTTTCGGGGCCACCCTGGAGGAGCTCGACCAGAGAAGGCGGGGGGTCCAATCAGGGTCCCTGCCCCCCCCCCAGGAGGCCAAAATTGGCCCAACACCTTGGGAAAAACATGATTTGCGCCTGCTCGCAGGAGCCTTCTTGGACGCTCCAGGGACCCGCGACCCCCGCACGTGTTAGGTCCAGGGGAGGGAGATCTTGGAGGGGTAAACCCCTCCCCGAAGGGGAAGAATGGGTTGGAAGAGGAAGCTTCCTAAACCACTCGCGCCCTGAAGGGCTGGTGGGATTCAGGCAGATAGTTGCGAGTAAAGCAAGAATGTTTGGCCCAGTTGCCATACGCTGACATCGTGGGCTGTGTGATCGAGCTTGAAGAAGCATGTGTGTGTCTGCGCGTGTTTGTGCGTGGACATGGTTGTTTCTGTTGTCGTGGCGGTGCTCTACGGTGCCGCCTCTACTAAGTCGCCGCCATAGGTGCATGTGCTTGTTAGTTCATCGTTTCTTCATCCCCGCCTGCCTGCTGCCGCCGCCGGGGTTGGCCATGCCCCTTCCCCTCAATCTCCTCCCATCCACTCCCCTCGTATCTCTCCATCTTCTTCTTTCCCGCTTTACATGCGTCGCATCCCCCCTCCATGAGATGTTGACCGCCCCCCTGCAGGAGGGCAACCCAGTGGTTTCCGCCAATCCGTTGATGTCCATATTCTCTAGCTTCGGGGCCATGGGCGCCAAATTGGGCAAGCAGCTCAGGAGCTATCGGTAGCGAGGAGATGAGAGAGAGATGCGACCAGGCGGTGCTCAATCATGAAGCGACCGAGCAATCGATCTTATAATTATCTAACCGTCCCAATGGGTGCTGCATGATCGGTCTGATCGACGTCGTCAGTTTCTGGAAGTGGTGCGAAAGGACGACGTGCACTCACAGGCAGAACGACGAATAGCATGAGGATTGTGACCGGAAGCGCTGTTGCGACGGCGGTGATGGCGCTGACCCGGCCATTCGATGCTTCTCAGTTCGACACTGTTCGATCGAAGCTCCTTCCATGATCTTTACCTTCCTCCTTCCACATCGTTATGATCCCCTTCCTCCTCCTCCTCCTCCTCCTCTTCCTCCTCCTCCGTCCGCAGCCAGTTTCGTCCAAGCCGCTCAGCAGCGAGCGACAGCCCCACTGTTCAAGCTGGCTGGGCATGGCCTTCCTGCTTGTGGTTGCTGGCTTCGCTCGTCGTGTTTGGGAGGCTGGCGCGGGTGATACGCGCCGAGCTTCTGTCCGACGCGAAGGGCGCCCTCAGGGGGACGCTCTCGTCTCGACGACGCCGAGTGTTAAGACTGCTAGAGGTGGGGCGGTTCGCCTTACACTGCTGTCGCCCCGTTGGCGGTCTGCCACGTGTCTGGGCTGCATGCGACGATGCACTGGCTGGGGTTTCTCCCTCTTTCCTTCGCATGTCCCACCCTCCTCCTCCTCCTCCTCCTCCTCCTCCTCCCCCTCCTGCTCCTCCTCCTCCTCCTCTTCTTCTCTTCCTCCCCGTGTCTCCCTCCCTCCCACCCTCCTGATTCCCGCCTCCCATTCCCCTCATCCTGCATCCTCTTCCCTCCCTGTTGTCCTCCTCCGTTCCTTTCCCTTATAGAGAACTCCTCCCTGTCGCACCCCGAGGCCGGTCGAAAGGGCGGTCCGGGCGTTTCGCTTGAGACTTCTTCACCATGCATGATCTTGGTGTTCAAAAATGACAGCGGTTTCACATATGGAGGGCGAGTCGTTTTCAACATGTGGCTCTCGCCTTTGCGCCGTGCACACTTGTTTTCAAACACTGCAAGAGCTTCACGGATTGAGGGCGGGCCGTTTACAAAATGTCGTTCTCGCTTTAGCACCGCGCACCTTATTTTTCAACAATGGCAAGAGTTTCACGGATTGAAGGCGGGTCGTTTTCAAACATTGGTTCTCGCTTGGGCGCCCCGCACACTTGTTTCAAAATTTGCAAGAGCCTCACGGATTGAGGGCGGGTCGTTTGCAAACATGCGGTTCTCGCTTTGGCGCCGCGCATATTCGTTTCAAGATTTGCAAGAGTTTCACGGGTTGAGGGCGGGTCGTTTTCAAACATTGGTTCTCGCTTGGGCGCCCCGCACATTTGTTTCAAAATTTGCAAGAGCCTCACGGATTGAGGGCGGGTCGTTTGCAAACATGCGGTTCTCGCTTTGGCGCCGCGCACCTTATTTTTCAACAATGGCAAGAGTTTCACGGATTGAAGGCGGGTCGTTTTCAAACATTGGTTCTCGCTTGGGCGCCCCGAACATTTGTTTCAAAATTTGCAAGAGCCTCACGGATTGAGGGCGGGTCGTTTGCAAACATGCGGTTCTCGCTTTGGCGCCGCGCATATTCGTTTCAAGATTTGCAAGAGTTTCACGGGTTGAGGGCGGGTCGTTTTCAAACATTGGTTCTCGCTTGGGCGCCCCGCACATTTGTTTCAAAATTTGCAAGAGCCTCACGGATTGAGGGCGGGTCGTTTGCAAACATGCGGTTCTCGCTTTGGCGCCGCGCACCTTATTTTTCAACAATGGCAAGAGTTTCACGGATTGAAGGCGGGTCGTTTTCAAACATTGGTTCTCGCTTGGGCGCCCCGAACATTTGTTTCAAAATTTGCAAGAGCCTCACGGATTGAGGGCGGGTCGTTTGCAAACATGCGGTTCTCGCTTTGGCGCCGCGCATATTCGTTTCAAGATTTGCAAGAGTTTCACGGGTTGAGGGCGGGTCGTTTTCAAAGTGTAGTTCTCGCCTTGCGCCACGCACATTCGTCTTAAACATTTGCCATGTGTTCATTGGTTCTCATGGTTAACGTACCAGAAATGGTGTGTTGGAAGGGTTCTAGATTGCCAGCGCGCAGAAGGTACGTTTATTAATTGTGATGAAGTCCCGCCAAGACGTAACAGTCAGGTTAGCTCGTGGTTTTGAAATCCTGAGACTGGAGTTCTGGCACGCTTCAAGATGTTCACACGGCTGTCCCCCAAAGGGACAACTCTCTCACTAGAGATGCCCTGCTGGACGGGCCTATGAAGAGGAGGGAGGTTGTATTTCAACATCGTTGATGAGTCTGGGGTTTACATTTGTCCCCGTCCTCCTCCTCCTCCTCCTCCTCCATCCCTCTTCCTTATGAACAGCTTGTCATCGTCAGATGGACACGTCGGGTAGTAGGACTGGGCGTTTCGTTCTAAGATTCCTGGCAAGTTGGCAGTGTGCAAATGTGTCATCAACGCTCCCAACTGGTGCGCGGGTGGAGCTGAGGTGGTTTTCATATCGTGTGTCCCGCCTCGGCGCCGCGCACATTCATCTCAAAGGCTTCCAGCAGCTACACGGATGGATGTGAGGTGATTTCGTCATGTGGCATTCGTTTCAGCGCCGCGCGAATTTTAATATATATATATATATATATATATATATAACAAAAAAACGGACGGGGGGCGGCTCTTTCTCCATATAGGATTTTCGTCTCGCTTTAGATGTTTCCCGGTTTAGTGTCGTCCAGAATATTGGCACACGGATTGACGGGGGCCGTTTCAGAACGGGGTGACCGTCGGACATGTTGCGGATTGAGTTATATTACCATGGGGCTGCGAGGTTTACGCATATACATTGCTCCTTGGTCACGCCCATGCTGAGCTCGGCAGCGGTCCCCACTCGTGCTCCCTACCCCCCCCCTCTCCCTCGAACCCCCTGTGCTCAGTCCCATGCTCCTCCTGCTCGGTCCCCCCTATTCCTCGTCGCCACTCTTCATTCCTCTCCCCCTCTCTTCCTCTTCCTTCTCCCCCCTTTGTTGCAGCCTGTATGAGCCTTTCCGACTGGGGTGGCCCTATTCCAGGCGTTTTTCGTGTTCGGGTATGTGGTAGTTGTGTTCGTTTATTCGCCAGTCTAGTTATTCTTATCGGTTCTGCCTTCTTGGCGGCAGGCAAATCCATGCTCCTTGTTCCTCTTCCTCCCCCTCACTAATTTTCCATTGCCTCTCCGCCTCGCCTCTGGAGGAGACTGGTCGCGGGCACACCTCGGCCGACCAGCATGATGTTGGGCTCGATCGTCGGCAAGCAGTTGCGTAGCCTGGTCAGTGCGTTGTGTCCGCCGCCGCCGTCGCCATCATCATCATCATCATCATCATCATCATCATCATCATCATCATCATCATCATCATCATCATCATCATCAGCATCAGCATCAGCATCATCATCATCATCATCATATCATCATCTCATCATCATCATCATCATCATCATCGTCATCGTCATCATCATCATCATCATCATCATCATCATCATCATCATCATCATCATCATCTCATCATCAGCAGCATCATCATCAGCATAATCACCATCATCATCAACATCAACATCATCATCATTGTCATCGTCATCCTCTTCCTCATCATTATCATTGTCATTATCACCAGCATCACCACCCACCACCACCATCATCATCATCGTCATCATCATCGTCGTCGTCACCATCATCAATAAGATGTTGTACAATCCGGGTCGTCATCATCATCATCATCATCATCATCATCATCATCATCATCATCGTCATCCCTCGTCTTGGCCCGTGGCTCCATTTGCTGGTGGGCGTGGCCATCGCCCCCGCGGCCACGCTGGTGAAAGGGCCATGCCCAGGGCCAACACGCCTTTTCACGCTAACTGTTTTGGACGGGGCCTCCTCCTCCTCCCTCCTATCTTTCGCCTCTCCTCGTCCTCCTTCCTCGCATGTTTTCCTCTTCGTACCTCCTGACTGCAGAACCTTGCCGGCAATCGTATTGTTAACACGATGCAGCGACCAAGCGTGCTTCAATGAGTTTGGGTTTCGTCAACTCAGAACCCCACAACGGCCCAACAGCTGTCCAAGATGGCTTCTGGACGGGGCCCTAGTGCCATCTAGGCGCGCGTTGGACTCGACTAGACGTAAGAGTGACCTTTCGCCGGAGTGACCTTTGGTGCGGGCACAGATGGGTCCCCAGATGGCTGAAAACGAAGCAGTAGCAGCTGCTTGCGCGCCCAGGTTTGGTCCCCCCGCGGCCCCCAAAAAGTTGCGCACCAAAGGTCACTGTTACCCAGGGTCGCCCATGCGTATAGCCGATGGACGCGTGGGTTCCCAGGATTCCCAGACACGCTTCGAAGGCCTTGGATAAGTCGCGCGGGGAGCCTTCGTGGATTGTGCCAAGAGTGTTCGGGTCGTCCCTGGGCCCCTGGCCCCGAGCTGAGCCGGGGGCAACCGCGCTGTCATCGCCGTCGTTTCCTGTTGCAGGTGGCCCGCCCGCTGGTGGGTCACCTCTGCGCCGCGCTACACAGAGGAAGCGTATGGAATGCACCGAGTCATGTTGAAACCGAAAACGCAAATCAAACAATTGGTTTCCATCAACCAGTTTTCGTGTGACCCATCCGCCAGTGGGTCACCTGTGCGTTGCGCGCTACACAGGGGAAGTGTATGGATCACGGGCGCACCAGAATGCAAGTGACACAGTTGGGTTGTTTTTAACCATTTTTGGGGTGACCCACCAGGTGGTGGGTCACCTGTGCGTTGCGCGCTACACAGGGGAAGCATATGGAGTACGATTGCACCAAGTCCTTGGTGAGGCCCAGGATGCAAGTGACAAGATTAGGTTTTCGCTCAACCAGTTTTCGGATGACCCACACGTCGCGCGCTACACAAGGGAAGCGCAAGGATCACGAACGCACCAATTCATGTTGAAGCCCAGAACGCAAGTGAAGCAGTTGGCTTTTCTCAACCAGTCTTCAGGTACCCCATCCGCTGGTGGGTCACCTGTGCGTTGCGCGCTACGCACGGGAAGCGCATGGAGCACGCTTACATCAGCTCCTGTTGAGAATGCAAGTGGCACAATTGGGTTTTTCTTGGCCTTTTGGGGTGACCCACCCGTTTGTGGGTCACGTGTGCGCTGCGCTATACACAGGGGAAGCTTATGGAGCACGAGTGCACCAGCTCATGTTTAGGCCCATAATGCAATTGACAGCTCGTGTTTTGTATTAGCCAGTTTTCGGGTGAACCCGCTCGCTGGCTGGTCACCTGCGCGCTGCGCGCTACTCAGGGGAAACGAATGGAGCATGAATGCGCCAACTTATGTTGAGGTCCAGCCATCAAGCAGAACAGCTGTTTTTTTCAACCGGGTGACCCACCCGTTGGTGGGTCATTTGCGTGTTGGGCGTTGCACAGGGGGAGCGTATTCAGCACGATTACATCAATTCATGTGTAGGCCCAGACTGCAAGTGACACAGTTGGGTCTTGTTCGACCAGTTTTGGGGTGACCCATCCGCTGGCGGGTCACCCGTGCGCTGCGCGCTGCACGGGGGAAGCGTATGGAACACGATTGCATCAACTCATGCTGAGGGCCTGAATGCAGGTGAAACGCATGGTTTGTCAGCCAGTTCTCCGGTGAACCCGCCCGCCAGCTGGTCACTTGCGCGCTGCGTGCTACACAGGGGAAGCGCACCGAGTACGACTGCACCAAATCATGCCGAAGTCCAGAATGCAAGTGGCACACCTGGTTTTTCTCAACCAGTTCTCGGCCACGCGTTTCGCGCGACACTGGGGACACGCGCGGATGCCAGTGCGCCTGCTCATGTCGAGGCCCAGAATACAAGCGACATGTGTTTGAATAGTTCTCTTCTGACCCACCCGCTGGCGGGCCACTTGCGCGCCGCGCGCTACGCGCGGGAAGGGCGTGGAGCTCGAATGCACCAACTCATGTTGAGGGCCAGAACGCAAGTGGGGCAATTGGTTTGGCTCAAACAGTTTCCGGGTGACCCACCCGCTGGCGGGCCAACGCCCTTCCGGCCCTGCCCGCCCGCAGACTGGGCGACGGGCGAGGGCGAGGGCGACGCGCTGGAGGACTGCTTGGAATGCCCCGCCCGGCCCGCCCGCGCCCCCGAGGCCGCGCCCGCCGGCGGAGGAGAAAGCGAGCGAGGGCGTCGGCGGCGCGCCCGGGGGCGGCCAACGGAACCCTGCTTGGCCAACGTCCCCAGGGCCACGCTGGCCCTCAAATTGAGCGACGGGCGAGGGCGAGGGCGACGCGCCGAAGGACGGCCGCGGGCACCCTGCCCGGCCCGCGCCCACAAGGCAACGCCCCCCGCGAGGGAAGGAAGCGACCGAGGGCAGCGACGGCGCGGCCGAGGGCGGGCAAGGGGGCCCCGCATGGCCAACGCCCAGGCCGCGCCCGCCTGCAAATTGAACGACGGGCGAGGGCGATCAGTGGCGTCATTTTCCCACGATTACATCAAAAGTTGCGGGTGGAAAAAAAAAACGATGCCCACCTGGGCCCCCGTCGGAGGAGTGGAAATGCGAGCGCAATCGCGCGTGGTCAGCGCGACCGTCCGCTTGTAGCAAAGCGAATGCGCGGGCGTCGCGGCGACGACGACGGCGACGGCGACGACGACGGCGGCGTCGGCGCCGACGGCGACGACGGCGGCGGCAACGGCGACGGCGGCGACGACGACTGTCGCGGCGACGGCGGCGACAGGGCCCCGGCCCACGGGCGGACTTGCGCCCCGCCCTCGCCCCTGGAGCCCCGCGGTAGATTTATCAGGAGGGCGAAATTGTCTGCGCGCAGTTTTGCCCCAGCCGTCGCTCCGCTGCACTAAAGCTTTCTTTTTGCTCTAGTAAAACGTCGCCTTTAGGAATGCAGTGAGTGGCGCGCCGTTGTTCAAGCCGCTTTCTCGCTTTAGTTAAGCCGTTTGCCTGCTGCGGTAAAGCCGCCCCCTCGCTCTGGCATAGTCGCTTCTTCGCTTTAGTCAAGGCCGCGGCCTGCCTTGGTGGAGCCCTGGGGGTGCGTTGCCAGGGCCTGGCAGGTCGGGAGGCGGGGTGCTCTTGCTCCCCCTGCCAGCTCACCCCGCAATGCATTCGATCGAGTAATCAGGGTCGCGCTGCATCGGGCCGCGGCGATCCTTGGACATGTTTTCAGCGAGTTGTAGATGTTCCCCGACGTGGGTTCAGGGCGCGAGGGCAGGGCGCGGCTCGGCAATTCGGACGCGCTGCCGCGGCTGTCGCGCAACAGAGCAACAGCACCTTACTAAAAGGCTCGTTTCCTTGCAGCAAATAGCTTCGAAGTGCTGATCTGACTTTGCCGCTTCGAAGGCGAGGGCGAGCGCCGGAGGGCGGCCAGAAGCGCCCCGCCTGGCCCGCCCCCCCGCGGCAACATCAGCCCGCGAGGGGGGGGGGACAACGATCGAAGGCAGCGGCGGCGCGCCCGGGGGCGGCGACGGGCCGCGCCGCCCCGCGGGCGACGCGGTGCGCGACGCAGGGCAAAAGATGCGCGAGGGGCCCCTGCCTGCCCCGCGCCCGCAAAGGCGCCCCGCCCCGCGGGCGACGCGGCGCGGGCCGCGAGGGCAAGGGCGCGCCAAGGGCCCCCACCTGCTCCGCGCCCTCGGGCGCCCCGCCCGCGGGCGCCGCGGCGCGCGCCGCGGGGGTGAGGTCTGCGCGCGCCCCCCAGATACAGCGCGCAACGGGTGGCCCACCAGCGAGTGGCCACGCGAAAACTGGCCGCGAAACAACCCGTCGTTCCACGCGCGCCCTGCGTCTCAGCGCAAGTTGGCGCGTTCGCGCTCCGCGCGCTTCCCCCGCGCGGCGCCCTGGCCGCCCGCGGCCGCGCCGCCGCCGCCCTCGGTCGACATCTCCTTCGCGGGGGGGGGGAGGGGGGCGTTGCCTTAAAAGGGGCGCGGGCCGGGTAGGGCCCCCTCGGCCGCCCCTGGGCGCGCCGCCCCCGCCTCCTTCGGCCGCCGCCGCGTTCGCGGGCGGGCGCGGCCCAGAGGGTGCGAATCGGGCGCGGGCCCCCGGCGCGCCCCGGCGCCCGCAGCGCGCGCCGCCCTGCCCGCCGGGGCGGGCGCCCTTTGATTTTGGCACCATGCCCAGAGGGGCGCGCGGATTTAGGGGGCGCCCTCGCGCCATGCGTCGTTTTCGCCGCGGGCACCGACGCCAATTCGGCAAGGGCGGGGGCGGCCCAGGGCGCCCCCTGCGCCCTTGGGACCTGGGTCGCCCGCCGCCCAAACAAATATCAATTTCGGTGTCCGAGAGCCTTGCGCCCTGACCACTCTTCTTTATCACGC